TTCTCATTTGGGGGAAAAACTGCCTGTCATAATCTCTTGGCAGGGACATAATTTCTCTTCATCTTTGAAGATGCTGCTGGGAGGTGTGGCAACTGTTTAGACAGGAAATAACTGTGCAAACCAAGGCCCATTACAGAAGGACCGGTTCATTTACTAAAGAAAAAATGCCACCTGGGAGCCTGGAGAGACGGTTTAGTGGGGCAGAGGACTGAACTCAAATCCTAGCACCTATAGAAAAGCCAGGAATGGTGCATACATCTGTAACCTCGGCGCTCACGGACCAGCTATTCTGAGTTGGTGAGTTCTGTGTTCAGCGAGAGACCCTGCCTCAAAAACAGACAACAAGCAAATGAGGTGGGGATCAGTTGAGGAAGAGCCAGCTGAGGTTGAACTCTGGCCTCCAGGCACGTGGTCACACACGCACACCTGCCACTTGCCATTGACACAGGACCATCATTACAGAATACCAACCAACTCTTAGTAAAGCCAAGGAGCACGGCTTTCCTGATGGGCTGTTTCTTCCATCTTTTCCAAGAGCTAGTAGGGAAGTCCACCTAAACACACCGTGGCTCTCTTCAAGCCAGCGGATAGCACAAGCCAGGGGGCAGAAATCTACCTACTTGGGTATTAACTGGCTCCCACTACAAGAATTAACACATTAAAAAGTACTGCTTCAGGGCTGCCTTTCCACAGTGTGATCCTAGATTAATACTGAGTTGGGTTTTTTTAAAAAAATAATGAACTTGACAAGTGTTGTAAGAGTTGATTATGCTTTATGAACGTGAAGGGGAGATTTGTTTCAGCACCTCCTCTAGACCACATGGAATGCCAGTGTTTAGTCAAAGTCACCCGTTTTTTTTTTGGTTTGTTTTTTTTTTTTTTTCGTGTGGGCGGTTAAATCTCATGAAGAATAGGTGGTTATTGCTGTCGAGGTCTCACTCCGACTGACTTTTCATTTCTTCTTTGAAAAATGGGAACATTTGAGTCACTTTCCGGGTGATTATAACTAAATTCATGCCAAAACAAAAGTGTCTGATTTCCAAGCTTTTGTGAAGAAAGACTCCACCGACTGTCCTTTAAAAACTTTGGCAAGCCGCAGAAGGAGCAGATTGTAGTTTCATTAGCTTTGACATCAGTCTCCAAGAGAGACAGCCATTCATTTCTTAAAACCCGACAATTAATGTTTCAGAAGGTTCAATACGTTTGAATGTGGCAAGATCGTGTCCTTTGTAGGAAGTCAGTGGGGAGCGATGGAGCCTGGGCGAGCGGCTGGGCCTGTAGCTCAGATGCTGGAGCGCTTGCTTGACACACGCAGAGCCCTGGGTTGGATTCTCAGTGCTACAGGAAAGGAGTGGTTTTTGAGGAGGAGGCAGAAGGATGAGGAGCTCGAGGAAGGTCACTCTTGGCTACAGATGCTCTTTGAAGGAAGCTAGATAACGAGACTCCATCTCAAATAAAGGGGTGGCTAGATGCAGCATAGATAGGTTTGAACATGCGTGTTTTCCTTACTCTTCTGCGTTCTCTGAGTAGGAACAGCTCACAAACCATTCCCTGCCCTTGAGATAGGTTTCAGATGCATTTGGTCAACACTGCCTTTTTGGTTTGTGAACTGACGAGTGTACTGGCTCCCACCTGCTGGCGTGCTAAGAATGCCTCTTAAGCATCAGGATGCTTACTGTTGGAGTCTGGACAATGTAATTCATGCTCTCCAGTAGGACCAGACAGGAAATAGTGTCTCCTTAACTGCGCTCGAGTTATTGTGACTAAGATCTTAGAAGCAGAAAAAAAGATATTAAAGGATTAAAAAAAATAAAAACCAGCCAGCTTCCCTACTCTTAGACACTCAGGCATGGTCCTGAGAGCCATATGGGATGAGGTCAATTTACAGTTTAGTCGTGACTTAAGATGTTATAAAAAAAAATATATCAATTACTCAACTGGTGCAGAAAAAGGTTAAGACTAGGATTAGTGACTTGGACATTATGACCTTGTAAGCTTCATAATATCAGGGGTGAATTTTAAAATATCATAAGCTAAGGTCAATTTACTTCTAGACACTCGAGTTGGATATGCAGGGTCTAATAGACACATGGGTGAACACTGTGTGTTGAATTATGAAAATGACATTTTCGGTGGGAGAGATGGCTCAGCAGTTAAAAGCACTGGCTGCTCTTGCAGAGGCAGAGTTCAGTCCCCAACAAGCACATGGCAGCTTACAACCATCTGTAACTACAGTTCCAGGGAACCTGATGCAGTAGTCTGGCCTCTATGGGTCCCAGGGCATACAAATGGTCCACATAGGTGCATGCAAGCAAAACACTCATACAAATAAATCAATCCAAAAATGACATCTTAGTGGACTCGGTAGAAGGGTGATTGACAGAAGGAGACTGGAGTTATATACCCCTGACCGACAAACACGTGGGACGTGTTTCTGATGTGTGGGATTTCCCCAGAGTTTAAAATGAAAGTGAGAAGCTGGGGAGGTGTAGGGCTCACTGGCTGCCCTTCCAGAGGGCTTGGGTTCGATTCTTAACACCCGCATGGTGGCTCACAACTGTCTACAACACTAGTTCCAAGGGATTTGATGTCCTCTTCTGGCCCCCATGGGCACTGCATGCACACACGGTGCACAGATTTAGGTACAGATGCGAACACCCATACACACAAAATAAAAATAAATAAATCTCAGAAAAAAAAAAAAACCAACCCACGAAAGTGAAGGTGATGCCTTGGTCCGATCTCCTTCTGGGACTCCAGGAAGCAGTCAGCCACTGTTGCCAGTGAAGTTCCCTGTACTTCCTGACGACTAAGCTCATTTCGTAAGGTCGGTCTTTTCTACTCTGGCTGATGGAGGGGCTTGACTTTCAGAAATACACAGAAGGGTCTCTTTAGCGCCCCAGATCCTGTCCTAATAGGTGCTTTGAATGAGCTTTCTTAGCTAGATGCAAATGCAGACAAGTCATTGGCGTTCTCTACATGTCTATTGGCTTTCCACCTCTCAAGGTGCCCTGGGCAGCTAGTGAAATGGCTCGTGGTTAAAGTCTTTTGCCACCGAGCTTGACAACCTGCATTACATTCTGGGCCCTATGTGGTGGAAAGAGAGAACTGCTTCCTGCGAGTTGCTCTCTGACTTCCATACGGATGCCATGGCACGCATATGCACACATACATGCACACAAATAAATATAATAAAATGCATTTTAGAAGGAGCGGTAAGAACTCTGACCTGAGAAACTGTGCTGCTAGCTTTGTTTGTACTGTCTTTACCTGGACCGGTCGACCCCTCCCGTAGCCTCTACCTCTGAGTCTTCACAAGTGCGGCTGCTCCAGTTGGTCTTGTCCTGTCTTGCAGGTTCTCACGCATCTTCGCAGGCTTGTGGCCCAGGGCTGGAGAAATAATGGCTCCGCCTTGAGAGTGTGTATTATTGGTCTTGCAGAAGAGCCGAGTTTGGTTTCCAGCACCCGTGCTGAGCGGCTCACACCTGTCTGTGGTCCTGCTCCAGTGTAATCTGGCGTCTCTTGCCTTACCTCCCCACCCCATGATGCCCATACTCGTAACTAAAAGCAGCAAAAATACATACTGGGAGGAGAGTTACAGTGAACTTCGGCTTTGCAGCCAGGACTTCCTCGACCTTTCCCACGCCGCGGCCTGTGTCATGCTAATGTTCTGCCTGCCTCTAGTGCAGTGGTTCTCAACCCATAGGTTGCGACCCCTTTGGGGTCAAAGGGCACTTTCACAGGGGTCATCCATCTAAGACCATCAGAAAACACAGATATCCACATAGCTGTAGTTTGCTACAGTTATAAAGTAGCAATGAAAATAATTTTATGGTTGGGGGTCACCACAGCATGAGGAACTGTATGAAAGGGTCGCAGCGTTAGGAAGGTTGGGATCCACTGCTCTAGAGTCAGGCTCCCTTAGCCTTGAATGTAGGTCCATGGGCAGGCTCTTCTACTTTGAGCCACCACGAACTGTGCCTGGTACACTGCGGCTGTTCTTAGGACTGACAAATGAAAGAATGGTTTTCTCTCCATGAACTGCAGTCCCTCGGTAAAGCCAGACTTGGTGCCAGTCTTTCCTTCCATTCCCAGGGAGCTTAACCCCTTGCAACTTCCCCTCCGTGGCTCTCAGGGAACACTCCAGAGTGCCAGGGATGGTAGATGGGGATGGAAGTGACCTAAACACAATGCATCCATGCGTAAGATTACCAAAAAAATAAGCAATTTAAAAAAGAGCACTGGGGGTGTATACGTTCCAAATTTTAACAGTCTTACGGTTTGTCTCCCATTTGCACGAGGACCTAGAGATGAGCGGTCAATCACAGGCAGCTGGTTTTCTGACCAGCTTTAAAATTCGGGATCTATTTTTTTTTTTCTAACATCAAATGCCACTCTCCAGAAAAAGACTTCTCTTATTGAATTGATTGGCATGATTTCAAAATACTAAGTTTAGAGAAAGGCCACAAGATACGGAGCCACGCATTATCTTAAAATAACTGTATTATGCACATTAAAAGATGTAGCTTTCCCTTTCCGGTGTGATTGCTCTGTTTGATCAAATTGAAAGTCGGGTTCCTATTATGGTGTTTATGCCTTATTTCCTTAGACTAAATGAAATTGTCCCATTATGGCAAATAGAAGCTTCATAATGGTTTGATTCGGGTTTAATTGGAAGGCTGTTTCTCAGAATACTTTACCATTCCGGTCACACATTGAATATTGTGTTTTCCAGTAGAGACCATGAGCTGGGACTAGGTTGGAACCCTTTTAAGACTTGCAATTCTAGAAGGCTTCCAAACCAAGGTCCCTCTCTCTTCGCTGTCTCCCTGGAAACAAACCCCTAGAAGAAATGCCCTTGGCTCTGCGGTCCTGCTCTCAGCTCCTCCCAGGATGGACGGGCAGTTTAGAGACTGCCAAGCCACCCTCCGCGTCGCGTCCTCTTTGTTTCTGAAGTGAACTTCACCAAGAGTCTTCTCTCTGTGTCTGGCTTTCTCAAGGCTTCCTCACAGCAATGAGGCAAGAAGTGACCCGAGCTCACAAAGGCTGGGCGCTGGACACCGTGACCATCCACAACGAAGTCCTGCGGCAGACCAAAGAGGAGATCGCCGCACCCCCTGTGGTAGGTGCTGTGGGGAAGCTCAGGGTAGAAATCCAAGTTCAGGGCGAAATGGCCTCTGCGGACTGGGGATGCAGTACAGTAGATGGTCAAACAGCTGCCTGGTGTGCAAGGCCCTGGGTTCAGTCCTCAGGACCCCGAAAACAAACAAAAAATTGAAAACTGACCTTGGCTTCTCCAGTGAAGCCCGTCTGCTTTCCATGGAGGTTTTCTCTGTTGTAACCAGACAATCTCAAGGCCAGTGCCTCCCCCGTCTGCTGAGTGGGAGGCTAATGACAAGGGCTAGTGAGCCCAGAGACTCCCCCGGGGTGACCTTTCTTTATAAATGCAAGTTATGTACGTGTTTGCTTAGACAGATTTCCACGTGTCTTCCACTCCTGTGCTGGGCTCACAGGGTCCCCTGTAGCAGCCGAGGGCCATGGAAATCCGCTGGACTAACTGTTGGGAGCTCAGTTCCTACCCCGTCTTTTTCTTCGGCCTGCTTGGGGACTCTGGGTGTGGAGCATTTGCCCTGCTGTGGGGAGAGTAGGCCCTCTGTGCCTCTGCTTTGACACAGATGCTGGGCCAACCTCTTTAATGATTTTCCTCTTATGTCTGAAAAGTAAATGACGGTTCAACCTTTCTGCAGGAAGTCACGAGGCTGTAGATGCCATCATGTAAGCTTGGTGGCAGATCATCTGACTTGGCAACTCAATAAATCTTAGTCCTTCTTTTCCTCTCATGCTCTCAATACCAAGGGGACTAGAACAGATGAATTTCCTAGCTCTGGGCCAAATTTCCTGCCTCTTTGTCGCGGGAGATCTTCCTTCCAGTCTTTGGAAGGTTCCTTATGCTTCCCTAAGTCCTCATCCCACACACCCTACCCTGTATATTCCTATCAGCTGCTCTGCAAAGTAATTGAGGGCCTCTCTATGACATACTCCGAGGATCTTGCATCTTCTGCCTACGATCGCCCCACCCCATGTCACCTCCCTGTGTGTAAGTGTTTGAGGCACTGCCTAGCTTCCTGGTACCCTAATCCGTATTTGTTGCCTAAAATATCACAGACTGGCTTACTCAAATCTTAGAATGTTTTCCCCTCACAATTAAGGAGTCAGGAAGTCCAAACCCACTGTAGCTCGGTTGGGAATGTGCTGGCTTAGCAGGCTTGGAGCCCTGGTTGAATTCCCAGCAGCACAGAAGCTGGGTGTTACTACGGCATGCACCTATAGTCCCAACACTCAGGAGACAGAAGCAGGAGGATCAGGAGTTCAAGGCCAGCCTGGGCTACATGAGACCCTCTCTCAAAACAAAACAAAATAAATCAGTGATTGGCAGTGTTGGTTTCTTCCAGAAGGAAGCCGTGAGAGACAGTCTTACTTCATGACTCTCTCCTGGTGGCTGATGCCTACTGGAAGTCCTTGGCAGACTGGTTTTGGCTGTCTCATTCCAGTGTCTACCACCACTGTCAAAAGCATGATTCTCTAGGTACCTCTCTGTGTGACCAACGCCTACACACACACACACACACACACACACACACACACACACACTCACACATGCTCCCGCCCGCCATATTGGATCTAGGGCCTTCCTAGACCCAGTGTGTTCATATCTGAACACTATATCTACAAAACCAAACAATATGTCTGAGGTACTGGGTTGACATAAATTTGGGGTGACACTGTTCTACCTGTCACATCTTCTCACTGCGACTCCTAAGGAACCTAGATTGCAAGGGCCATAGAAAGGGACACAGTTGGCTGTAAGGTAGTTCCTAGTGGTCATCTTGTTTGTGTAATTAATTGCCACCCACGAAGTTAATGATGGGAACTCCTGTCTCCTCATCTTCTGGCTCTGCCTAGGGTCACACTGTCGAGCCATGTGCTTCAGTTTGTGGTTCAAAATATACGGTCTTCATGCAACTAGCCCACATGAGAGAGTCCCAGAAACCCTTTGCCGCGAATCTCTCCGTCCTTTACCATGATCTACATTTACTTCCCCAGACCCCATCTTCATTAGAAATAGAAAAATGGTCACCATTCTCTACATAAATATACTTTATGAGCTTGCATGATTCTCTCCGGCCCTTTCTTGTTCTAATGAATACCTGTGCTGTGGCTCCCCCGTGCCTGCAAGCTAGAGTTCAGACACTTCAGCTCGGCAGATTCGTCCTCCGTGGTCAAGTGATAACCCATTTTATTACCTTTGAACCCTTGCCCAAGAAGTAAAGTATCTTCTCTGCCCGTCCTGCCTGTCTTTGTGGGATGCTTCGGCCTCCTTCTCCCCATCCCCATATGCTGCCCCAGCCCTTCAGGGATCGATCGCTTCAAGACCGTCCCCTCCGCAGTCTGCTCTGGTGGCAAAAGCCCACATGACCTTCAATCCAAAGTCACTGCTCCTATCCCATCCCCAGGCACTTCCATTATCAAATTTCGAACTGTCACCTGTGCTCAGAGGTCTTGGCTTCCTAATTTAAAAGTGAGGCCCAGGAAGACTAGTCTATTTATGGGCAAGTACGTGGGGAGGAGAGCTGGTTATACTCTGGAGCCGCCAGCTTCCCCCTCCAATCTCACGTCCACTTTGCTGTACCGCTCCAAGCCTCTGGGGGCGTTATCATCTCATTTCATGTTGTGGAGGAGATGGGGTAGAGCCCAGGGTTGGCTGGGTCGCTTCAGCCTAAAGTCCCATTGGCAGCAGTTCTAAGTTACAGTGTATGCTCCCGGCTTGCACCAACTCAAACTGGACTTGAGCTACCTGCAGAGGTGACTTGGCCCTCCTGTTACCCAGGTGGGCCACCCTGCATTCCAAAAACTCATAGCAGGGCATTTCCACCATGCAGCTAGACTCATTGCATGCCCCAGGGGAAAGCGTGACCTAGTTTCAATAATGCTATTTGCCCAGTGGTGTTTTCTTGTCTGCTAGTGCTTTAAGACCGGCATGCATTTTCTTTCTGAACTGACAGCCCTGATTATGTTATGGACGTCCACCTTTCAGTATGTCCCCCTTTCCGCCCCTTGCTCTTTCAGGAAGGTGTGTATATTTATGGGCTGTATATGGACGGAGCATCCTGGGACAGGCGGAACGGGAAGCTCACAGAATCCACCCCGAAGGTTCTGTTCATGCAACTTCCCGTCCTGCACATCTTTGCCATTAACTCCACGGCCCCCAAGGACCCGAAACTGTACGTGTGTCCGATCTACAAGAAACCCAGAAGAACTGATCTCACCTTCATCACCGTGGTGTACCTGCGCACAGTGCTGTCCCCAGATCACTGGATCCTGAGGGGAGTGGCCCTCCTGTGTGACATCAAGTAAGTTCATTTCTTCCTGCCGTGGGCAGCAGAAGAACCACATAGAAGCCCAGCCGTTGAGAGACTCAGACAGTGTCTTTCCTTCCTGGTAGGCCCTTCATTACTCTCCCTCAATTAAACAGTTGACACCTCTCCCGTTGTGTCCGTTTCTCCCTCCCGTATCACTGTTCCGAGAACCGTTCCGAATTCACGCTTCTGATTCTAAGAACTCACATTATGCTATAATTACTTTTGAAAGATAAACTCCTATCTTCACGTTAGAAGACTTTTTAGAAGGCTTGCATTTGAAAAGTCACAAACGGGGTGTTGATAGGATCCATCCTAAAAGGACCCCAGCAGAAAGAACTTTTCCCTCCAATGAAAACCACTCCCGGGCTGGCAAGATGGCTCAGTGGGGAAAGGCACCTGTCACCAAGCTTGACGACATGAGTTGGATGCCCTGGGATACACACAAAGGAAGGAAAAGACCAACGCCTATGAGTTGTACTCTGATCTACACATATGTACTGTGAGACCTTCATATGCTCACAAGTAAATGTAATCAAAATATACAAATAAATATATCAAAATATCACATAAATAAAATTAAAAAAGAAAATTCCTCCTAATAAATAATCTTTCCCTGCCTAAGCTTGATCAAATATTACCCTTTTAAGTTTGTGTGCGCGCATGTGTTTGTGTGCGTGTGTGTGTGCGTGTGTGTGCATGTACTCACATGAACACGCACATATGTGCTCTGCTGTTGGAGGATGTCAGAAAACTCATTGGGACAGTTGACCTTGGAATTTATTTTAATTTTATTTAATATTATTTCCTCTTCTTTGGGTAATACTTTTGAGGCTCAGGGAACTCTGGCTCCCTGGCTCTCCCTCCCAAGCCTGATTCTGTGGGAAATAATAAAACACATGTCTAGGTAGCAAATGGAGAAAGCAAAACAAACTCCATCAAACGAAATTAGGTTACATGCTGAACATCTTAAAAAGCAGAGTCCTTAGAAAGTGAAGCTATTTCTTACTCAGTAGTTAGTCTGGGACTCGGTATGAGCCCTGATTTCCTGATGAAGGAAATTGTCAATTTAACAAAACAGATGGGGTCCTCAACCGAGATGCTCATGTAGCTCCGGGATAGTGAAGAAGCGTCTCTCTGCTGTCTTCTCATCTGGAATCTTCTTGCCTGCCCCCAGCTCCTTGCGCTAACTTCATTCTCTCTGTTCTGGAAGAGGAGTCATTCCAGATTGCCCCATGCTTCTGTCATCCCGTCATCCTGAACGGAGGCGGTCACGGCAAGTCAAGTGAGATGGCCCAGTGGCACTCTGGGTAAAGTATACAGGGATGACCTCAGAGGACTGCTGTATCTCCGGCCGGGCGTAGCTCCTGGAAGAAGGGTATAGTGCTGACCTCTGATATATCCCTGAGGCCTAGTCAATGTCACAGTCATAGGCCTCTCCTAGTTTCCTTCCTAGTGTGATACAACCACCCTGACCAAAAGGAACGCTGGGGTAGGAAGCTTTCACTTGGATTGCATCTCCAGCTCACAATCCATCACTGAGGGAAGTCGTGGCAGGAGCTTGAAGTGCAACCCGCCCAAGACCCTTGCTTGCTGGCTCACTCTTTGGCTTCTTCGAAGGCTCATGCTTGCTTACCTGGTTTTCTCACACAGCTCAGGACCACCTGTCTAGGAATGGCACCGCCCACAGTGGACTGGGCCCACCTGCCTCCATCTAGACCGACTTCACAGAAATATCCGCAGACTCACCAATAAAGAGAGTTTATTCAATGGCTTATTTTTAAAAAAATTATTTCAGGTGACTCTGTGTTGTGCCAAATTGATTGTTAATGCTAACTAGAACAGTAGCCAAACCCCTGGTCTAAGTGTTTCTGTATTTCCCATGACTAGAACACACACTAATGCGAAGAGGGCATCCCCTGGGTGAAGTATCCACCTGCCTGCCAGTCTGGCCAGGTCCAGGAAAGCAATACCATCTCACTAGAGCAAGCCAGTCAGCAGGTTCTGAAATAATGCTCACGTTGGGTGATCCAATAATTAAAGGCAAAGGCATAATCTAAACCTCGGCTATCCAAGAGGATGCTTAGAGAATAATAATTCTGCTCGAAGTTGTCTAATGACTTGAATGGCTTGGAGAAAACGGGGGGAAGATGTAGAAGGCTGTAACTTTAGCAAAGGTCACCGAGAAGACTGGTTAATGGCACACGAGGACCGTTTTCTGGGAACTCGGCTACGGCTGATTATTTCGCTCCGAGTCAACAGTGAGGAGAAAGAGATGGGCACTGAGGTCCAGCCAATATGGGCACCTGGCCATTGGACAGTGCCTCCAAATGGTTTTGTTGACGGCTGGCCCTTCTGCACTGCCTGGGTTCTGCTGAGAGCTGGCTCAGGACCCAGTTCCCCTGTCTTTCTCGAGCTTAGCAAATGGCTTTCCTTAGACATTTTGCACCATTGAACTTCCATAAACACATAACCATTTTCTCAGCAAAATTGTTGCTCTGTCACTAATTACCTCATTTGCCACACTTGAGTGAGGGAGACCTGGTGAGCATAAGAGAGCGGTGGAGAGAGGATGGGGTGGGGAAGGCAGCAGAAGCCGGGGCAGAGGCAGTGGCTTTCTTTTGTTTTCCCTCCTTGGACTCAGTCCACGTTTTCTCATTTTGGTCTCAGCAAAATGAGCCATGAGATTTATATCTTCTTTGATTGAAAATGTTATTTTACTTTGGACTTTACATAAAAATAAGGGCAAAGAAAAGCACCCAGAGATAGAGCCCCGAAAAGAGATCCGCCTCGCGGGTGGTGATGTGTGAATAAGCCACACACCGCTGTCACACACGCCGCTGTCAGAGATGAATAGCGACCTCGACTCAGTGGGGGACGCAGTGTGACTCAGGGCCGTGACTGAAGGTCACAGATGTGGCTGAGGATAGCCAAGGTTGAGAGATGGAGGCGAAAACAAGGTAACCGTGGGGCTGGGTCCTGAACTTCTCATGGATCTCATCAAGGCTACAGATGAATGGCTTCTAAGGAAGGGCCCAGCGTGAGGGAGATACATTGTCTCATCTTGTGACCGAATGCCTGGCTAGAAGTTCTTATGGGAGAAAGGATCTGTTTTAGCTCACAGTTTGGGGGTGGGTATCGTTCACCGTGGTGGCAGGAGTGGCTCCTGACTGGAATATGAAACTGCAGGTTCACATATGGGTAGATAAGGAAGCAGAGACCAGACAGGAAGCAGGGCCAGGCTACAGACCTCAAGGACCACCTTCAGTTACTCAGTTCCTCCAGTGAGGCACCGTGTCCTGAAGGATCCCCAGCCTGCCAAAGCAGCAGCACCAGCTGAGGACCCGGTGTCTAAACATGAGGGCCTGTGAATCGTACAGCCGGAGAGAAGGGAAGAGAGAGATGAAATATCCAGAGACAGAGGTCAGATAACCTTCAAGAAACTTCTGTCACTAGGACTACACTCCAAATTCCAAAGACCTCAGGAGCTAGCCCGAACTTCAGCCTTGTTCGGGTCCAACCCATCCCTGGAGTGGTTCCCCACTCAACAGCAAGTTTCTGCAAAGCCCAGCCGATTAACCATCCCAGTGTCCGCAGAAGGGAAGAACCAGTGAACAGCGGCTTTTTGGATTAGCACCTTGGTTACAGGCAATGGCGAGGAAGGAGGGACTGGACCATCTGTCTGAGGGGCTAGAACTGCAGAGGGCAGTGGGGTGCTGTTGATCATGCTGGGTTGCTGATGGGTTGGGGGTGGGGAGTTGGTGAGGAGGCCATTGTTCTAAACTGGAACCATAGAGAGGGCAACTGAAAAAGAAGAGAGATAGAGAGTCTTCTGAGATGAAGAGAGAGAGATTAGAACCTCAGAAACTGTGTTGAGAAGGATCAGGAGAAAGAGTCTGAAGAGGACTGGAGGTATACCTCACTGGCAGAGTTCAAAGTACCACGCACAAGCACACACACAAGGAGAGGGCTGGGGAAATGGCTCAGTCCATAAAGCACTTGCCCCATAAGCCCGAGGACCTACATTTGGATACCCAGCACCCGTGTATAAAGAAAGTAAGGCACTGTGGTATATACTTGTAATCCCAGCACCTGTGAGGTGGGAGAGACAGAGACGAGCAGAGCCCTCAAGATATGCTGTCTCAAAGTAGAGTGTGAGGATTGGTACCTGAGTTTGTTCTCTGTGTGGTGTGGCACCCATGAGCCTGTCCTCACAGATACAAACATGCACACATACATACAGACAGACACACAATACACAAATACATACACATTGAGAAAAAGATAATTCAGCAAAAGATAAGAGTAAACATGTAAAAGCAAAATTGTTAAGTGAAAAATTAGGAACTGTGAAGATCTTTCCACCTTTTTCTATTTTTTTATTTATATGATGTTTTGCCTGCAGGCATGTCAATGTGCCACCTGTGAGCGGTGCCCACGGAGGCCAGAAGAGGGCTTGGACCCCAGGAGCTGCAGTTAGAGTGGGCTGTGATCTACCATGTGTGCTGAGAATCGACTCTGGGTCCTCTGCAAGAGCAGCCAGTGCTCTGAACCCTTGGGCCAACTCTCCAGTCCACTTTCAGTTTTAAAAAGCCAAAAGCACCTCAGAGTTAAAGTGACTTCATGACATGAACCTAGATAGCTAATAAAATCTCCAAAGTTGGCACTTTTTGTAAATTAAAAAAAAACTTTAATAATTAGCACCTAATCAGAAAGACTTGAAAGATAGAGCAGTTGAAAGATGCCACCCGGTGACACCAGCCACTGTCAGCACACATGGTGACGCATAGGACCGGCACAAATACTGAGTGACCATGTGTCCTCGAGAGCTGTCCAGGACTACTGAGCCACTGATGAACATGAATGGTGTTTCTAGATTTGATCAAAATGTTCAGGCCATTAAAAACTCCAAAACATTTTCCCCCATACCCATCTTAGTTCAGGTTCTCCCAAACCCAACTGGGTGATTCAGGGATTCGAGGCTGGGAGGATTCCTACAAAAAGCTTTGGGTCACAGCTCCTGTGGTATGGTTGGAGGAGACAGACAGGGACCAAGTTGGGCTCTCAGGCAAAAGATGGCCTTTCAGGCTGTCCCACATGTGGGCAGGGAGCAGGCAGAGGAAGCT